CCGATACCGATATGGTGGCCGATATATCGTGCATCCCTAATAGATTTGCTATCTAATTGTCATTGCAATTTACAAGTGGCATCTACTAACTTTTTATGAGAAATTTGCATTTTTATGCATGCATTTATTAATTAATTCATTCATTTATTTATTTACTTATTTCTGCATTCATTATTTATTTCATGAATCACTCAATTAATATAATTATTCATGCATTAATTTTATGCTTTTCTATGTAATTGTTTATTATTTATTAATTAATTAGTTCATTTATTTACACATTTTTATTTATGCATCATTCATTTATTAATTCATTCATTTAATTTATTTATGCATCAATTCACTTATTCATTCAGGCATTCATTATTTATTGATTGATGCATACATTAATTTACTAATTAATTGATTCATTTATATATTATTTACTGATTTGTTTATGAATTCATTTAGTTTATTAGTTAATTAATTAATTTATTCATTCATTCATTATTTATTGATTTATGCATGAATTCATTCATTCATTGATGCATTCATTTGTTTACGATACAATCCGATATAACTTTATTGTCAGACAAAGTCTTATATTTGTCTTGCGTTACAGCAGGTTCTCTCACAATTACCAAACTTTATCACATGGACAAAAGACCGGCAGAACTTTCATAGTCACAAAAAAAAAGAAAAGGAAAAAAGCTCCAGTACAGATTTAATTTTTTTGTAACTTGTTCAGCTCTAAAACAGCTTGGTGTACAAAGGAATACTTAATTTGATTATATCTTGGAACCTTATTCCACCGATTTATTTAGTTATTTAATAATAGTATCATGCTGTCTGTTGGTTTTTTACATTTCTTTGTGTGTTTGCATCAGGCTGGTCGTCTGCTGATCAGAAAGCTGGTGTGTGAGAAGATGGGTTTTGCATGGGACGGGTTTCGGCTGGAAAGAACAGCGCGGGGGAAACCGTTCTTGCCACAGACCTCATCCACCCACGGCGTCACCCACTGGAACTTCAACGTGTCCCATCAGGGAGATTACGCCGTGCTGGCAGCAGAACCGGGACGCCAGGTGGGCGTAGACGTGATGAAGACCAGCAGACCAGGTAACTTTCACTGCCCTTGAGCTGCTACTATGTCACCTGAGCTTACAGTCCTCACAACAGTCACCAATACAGCAAGAGACACTGCAGTTCCATCAGCGGCCAGCAGGTGTCGCTCTATACCGGTGCTTTAGGCAGAGCAGGCTGGGAAAGAATGTAGCTCAGAAGGGGTTTTTGAGGTGCATCATTTCTGGCTTTGCTGTAAAATGTAAATTTGTATCAGCTTGTAGGAATCATTTTTCCGTGTAGAACATGATTATTAAATTACTGATTTTTCTTGCTTTTATGAAGTTCTGTGTACACAACTCAAAACTCCCTCCACGGTCACCCAAAACATTTTCTGAAATAAACTGCAAAAACAACAGATTAATTATGACAACACTAATTAATTATGATAGATTATGTTTACTAAAAAAAGAAGAAAATGTATTAAGCTGATTTGACTAAATTACTAGTGTTTTATTTATTTTTTTGGGCTTGATATGAAATATACTGGCATTGTTTAAAGTTTAAGAAATTAATAAAATGTTTAGATTTTATTATATATTATAAAATATTTATATATGTAATGTAACTAATAATTTTACACAAGTTTTTACAGTAATAAATAGTCATTTCTATAAATGGTTTGTTTGATTACTTTTACTTTAGAAGTAAAAAAGAGTGAATGGTGTTAGCTCTTTTACATTAATGTTTAGAATATATATATATATATATATATATAAATTTAATAAATTTTTTA